GCCCTCTCAGCTGGTTGCATAAGTAGCTATTTCTTTTGGGAACTATCTTTGATCCACTTTTCTACAGAAATTTCAGGAGATTGTTGACTTTTCCAAGTGGTTTTCCTGGTATTGGCTAGCCCTTTGTTCATTACTTCAGCTGTCCTTCCCGAGACACTTGACTTTTGAGTTTAAAATATTTTTAAATGGCATTTCTTCACTCCATCTATCTTTTCAATTCAACATTTCTGTTTTTTCAATTTAGAAAATTGAATTCTCTTTGGAGCTTTAGGAAATGTTTATTTTTTTATTCTTTAGGTTTTGTTGGGAATTTTGTTGTATGTAGGGTAAAACTTATAAAATGCCAGCTTATAAAAGTGCTTCATGAATTTTACTGAATGACATCAGTGAGAATTTAGAACTTTGTCCTATGCGCCCCCAGGCCCTCCTGCACCCCAGATTCATGGACCCTTACACAAGAGCTTGGCACTGGCCTCTGTTAGTTATTGGCTTTGACACTCTGGGCATCTTAACATCCCAGAACATGGCTATTTTCACCATTCTCTTTACCGTGCCACGTCACAGTAGGCCTTTGTGGCACATGTTTAAGCTCATCTTGAAGGTTGCACAGGCTGGGTCTCCAGCTTTGTCTTGGTCCTGCCTACTGGCTCTGATGGGGCTATGGGCGCTGTGTGCGAGACTGCACGAATGATGTGGGCGCCGTGACCCGAGCTGCCTTTCCAGAGATAGACTGATGTCACTGACATCTGTGGCTTAGGGCAGCACAGATGTGCTGTGGGCTGTGAGCTCCTGGCTACCATATCATCAGTCCCAGACTGATGTCATTGCATCCAGGTACACACTGGTGTGATGTTGATGAAGAAACCATGGCAGGTCCCAGCCATGCCACAGCCTCATGGACCCTGCCATTCTCTGCTCTGCAGGTTCACCTCATTCCACCTGCTCCTAGTAGCCCAAATAGATGTGATGCCTGTGGTGGCGGAAACCTGCTCAGAGTAGCAGCTCCCTCACTGGGGTACCCACCCTCCTTTGGAGGACCTGTGGGTTGGGCAGTGCTAGGCATCCTGTACCTGCACCACTGCTTCTCTTGGGACGTGGTCTCTCGGGATCCCAGTAAGGTGGGGTCCCCATCTAGGCAGCGGGGACTGTTCCCAGCATGTATCTCCCACTATACACAGGGAGGCTCTGACTTGCAGGCATCCACCTCTCTCACCTCAAACTCAAAGCCAGTTGCCTCCCTCCCCAACCTCAATTTTCTCCTTCCTAAAGACTGTCTTCATGACCTCTCTATTACCGCTACCTTTGGTGCTTTGCCATTTTGGGTTATGAGCCTCCTGAAGTCCTGGCGTGGGCTCCCTGTGAGGTGGTGTGTGTACTCATGGGGGTGCTGTCCTTTGGCTGCTGCTCTGCTCCAGGCTGCCACTCTTCAACCTTTGTCCCTTGACTTCAGAACCCCAACTCATTTCAGGGTCCAGTGCTGTTTGCTAGTCAGCATTTGCTTGGTAAGTTCCTTTGCTTTGTAGACCTGCCCTGTTCTCCTGCCCCTCAAATCCTGTCCATCCTTGGAAGCATGTTCCCTCCCTCCACTGGCTGAGTGCCACCTGTGACAGGATGCCCATCCTCCTGCCCCAGCTATCCCTGGGCCCACACCCTGGCTTTGGGGACTAGTGCTGCAGTGGCAGCATAGCCTGAGTGGGTGGCCCCATGTCCTCTGCTATGTAGACCTAAGACAGGGCTTCTGGACCCTCTGTGTTTCCACTTGTAGTTTCTTGGGGTGAACTGGGTACTTTCCAAGAGTGCTGCACTAGTTCATGCTCCTCCATGGTCTAACAAGCCTCCTCTCACCCCATCTTCTCAGGCCCTTGTGGGGTCTGTTTGACAGGCGCACTCACGCAGGCCTGAGGTGGGTCTCTGTGTGACTTCAGTCTGTGTCCTCCTCAGCTGGTGATGACATGCACCTGTGCCTGCTGGCCTCTGGGTCTCCTTGCAGTGTCTGGTCCGGCCTGCTGTGCTAATTGGAGTGTTTGTTTTACTGTTGTTAAGTTGAATAAATTTGTTGTGTATCTGGGGTATTAATCCCTGTGTGTGATGTGTGTGAACATTTTCACCTACTCAGCAGGATCTCTTTCTCATGTTTCAGTTTTCTTTGTGAAAACTGTTTATTTAACATTAGGTCATCCCAATTGTTTCTGCTTTAATTCCCTTGCTGTGGTTGTTGAACCCCCAAAGGCATCTTTATGGCTGCTGCTGTGAAAAGTGGTCCCAGTGTTTTCTTCTGTGTGTCTTGTTGAGGTCTGTATCTAAGTCTTCGATCCACTTGGAACTTACTTTTGTGCCTGGAGTGCCGTTTTCCCAGCTCCATTTCTCCAGGTGACTGTTAGGCCCTGCTGTGTGGTTGTGTTGCCTTTATCATGAGGTACCTTTGCTGCAAGCGTGGCTTTGTTTTTGAGCTTTCTCTTCTGTTCCATTGGTCCATGTGTTTATTTTTATACCAGCACCATATTGTTGTAGTTGCTTTGTTGTGTGGTTTAAAGGCATGTATAGTGATTCCTCTATTTTTCTCCTTTTCTCTCAGGATTGCTTTAGTCACTTGAGGCCTTTTACAGATCCATGTACATGTTAGTGGTGGTTGTAGTGTGTTTGCACGTGGCTCTTGTTAGAATTGTCATGTTTACTGTATTGATTCTCCTGTCCCTGAGCTGTACTATCCTGACATCCTCTTGTTTTGTGGTTTTAACAGTAGCTTGCGACTATGAAAGTCCTTTGCCTCCTTAGCTAGGCTAATCCTTAGGATTTGACTCTTCTTGACTTGATGCAGTTGTGACTGGAATTGTTCTCCTAAATTTTCTTTTCTTTTCTTTTTGTTCTTTGTATATAAAAATGTAATAGGTTTTGGTATGTTGATGTTGCACCTGACATTTTGCGGTATTATTTGTTTCCTATAACTCTCTGATGGAGTCTTTCTATCTAGAGTATCCTATTGTCTGCAGATAGTGATGGTTTCACATCTTTTCCAGCATGAGGTCCTTTTGTCTCCTGTGGTCTTGTTACAGGGCAGGGAGAGAGGGAAATCACTGAAACCCCAAACCTGCTTGCTCTAAATAGGTTCTGCCACCCACTGCATCAAGACAAAACATATATCCTTTAACAGAAAGGAACTTTAATACAATTAGTAGGCAATATAGAAAAGACAAAGAATATAGTTTCTAAATCAAACACCCCAAGTTACCCATCCCCTCGTTGGTAAAAGTCCACCCAAAAGGGATTGGCCCAAAGCAAGGCCTAAAAGCCCACCACAGCCTAAAGCAACTTCTGGCAGGAACCCATGAAAAAAGGCCAGAAATGGCCCAACAAATCTGGGAAGAACAAAATCAAAATGAAGATAAATGCTGCCATATTTAACTTCCACATGGGTCTCTCACCCACATCTCTTTGAACCAGTCCAGGACCAAGAAACAATACAAAGCTTCTTCACATGTCTGTCTGCTCCCTGTGCCTAACTCAGGCCTCCTTCTGGCTCCCCATCCTGCTTCCATTCTTTTCTGTCTCCAGATTCTTCTCCCTGCTCAGCTTCACCGTCCTTCTGGTTGGGGCAGGGAACCTAGAACCTCCCCTTTTCCTGGGGACCTCCCTGTTAACAGTCTCACTGGGCTAAACTCCCTGTTACTAATTAAACAAAAAGTGATTGACAGTCTTGTCTTGACCTGACCTTAAAGGGAAAGCCTTTCACCATTAAATGTACTAGATGTGGGTTTGTGGTGTGTGACCCTCATTAAGTTGAGGTACACCTTTCTATTATCTTGTTTGGTGTTTTCATCATAAATGGGTGCTGAGTCTTAGAGCAGGTGCTTCTTCACAACTTTGGAAACTAAGTGATCTTTATCTTTTCTTTTGTTGAAGTATCACATTGATTTAAGTATTTTGTACAATCTTACATTGTTGGCATAAAATACCTATGTAGTCCAGCTGTATAGTCTTGTGATGTGTTGTATGGCCTGGCTTGCTAGTGTTTCATCGCCTTTTGCATCAGTGCTCATTTGGAGAGATATGAGACCGTGGTTTTCCTGTGCTGTCTTCATCTGGTTTTGGTTTTCAGGTAACAGCCATCACAGAATGTGTTTGGGCACATTCCATCTTCTTGGATTATTAGAAAGGATTTGAGCAAGATGGGCGTATATTCTTCTGAAAAGGCATATTGAAATTTTCTTGTGAAGGTTGTCTGGCCCTGAGTATCTGTGTAGGGTTCTTTTGATTACTGTCTCTGTTTTCAGGATTGTGCTGAATTTATTCAGCTCTTCTGTTTCCTCCTGGTTTAGTTTAGTGAACTGTTGCTTGAAAAGCATGTCCATTTTGTCAAGGTTCTCGAACCAGTCAGTGTGTTGTTCATTCAGGTCACCATGCATTGTCCTGCGTCCTGTGACAGTTCCGGGCCAGGCCTGGCTTTCTCTCTGGAAGCAGAGGCCTGCGCTGTTGCTGCTTGGTGCATCTGCTCTCTGTTCACATGGCAGCAGCCTGGGTGGCCTGTGTGTCAGAGTGCTTCCTAGAGGTGGCCACGTATTGCAGGTGTGCATTCTGCCTGGTCATGGGCACCCCAATGCCGTCCCTCCACAGCAGCCTGGTATTTAGGACAGGCCAGGAAAGAGGCAGCCAAGGGAGTACGCAGGCTACCAGCACTGGATCCCACTGACTCGGCTTTGAGCACATGGGGCTGGCTCTCTTCTGGACCACTGGCTGGTTTTGCCCCTCCCCTTAGGCTGTACCCTGCCCAGGAGAGCAGTGCCTGGAAAGGCCACCTTCTACCTGCTCTTGGATTTTTCTCCCAAGCTGGCATCTGCACAGCCAGATCAGGTTGCCCCTCATATACACAAGGCACAGGGCACACTCAGAGCAGCCGGTGGTGCTGGTGACGGGTAGTCCTGGTGAGTGGTGATCAGACGCTGACTTTTGCCTTTAAGTAACTTGATTTTAACTTTGATTTTTCAGGAGGACATTAAGTTGGATTAAAAAGGGGGGCGATAATGCACCATGGCAACGGTCCTCAGAATGTCCCGCATCAGCTGCAGAGGTCCAGGGCCTTCGTGGGCAGCGAGGAAGAGCAGCAGGCCCACCCAGTGCCACCCCAGTCCCCTGCCACGCCCTTGGCGCCGTCGGCGAGCCCATCCGCACCCCAGTCACCCACTTACCAAGTTCAGCAGCTGATGACTAGGAGTCCTGCGGCGGGGCAGCACGTGAACATCACCCTGCAGAACGTGGGGCCAGTGGTGGCAGGAAACCCCCAGGTCACACTCGCCCCCCTGCCACTCCCCACCCCCACCTCTCCAGGGTTTCAGTTCGGCGGCCAGCAGAAGCGCTTTGAGCATGGATCACCACCTTACATCCAGGTGACCTCGCCACTGCCCCAGCAGGTGCAGACTCACAGCCCCACGCAGCCCAGCCCTGGGCCGGCCCTGCAGGGCGGGCGGGCGGGCGCCCCGGGCCCAGGCCTGGGCCTCTGCAGCAGCAGCCCCACAGGGAGCTTCGTGGACACCAGCGTGCTGGTGAGGCAGATCAGCTTGAGCCCGTCCAGCGCTGGGCACTTTGTGTTTCAGGACGGCTCGGGCCTGGCCCAGATGGCGCAGGGAGCCCAGGTCCAGCTGCAGCACTCAGGGGCTTCCCTCGCTGTCCGAGAACGGAGGCTCTCCCAGCCCCACGCGCAGTCCGGAGGGACCATCCACCACTTGGGGCCCCAGAGCCCCGCTGCCGCAGGGGGGGCCAGCCTACAGCCCCTGAGCAGCCCAGGCCACATCACCACGGCAAGCCTGCCACCCCAGATCAGCAGCATCATCCAAGGGCAGCTGATCCAGCAGCAGCAAGTGCTGCCAGGGCCACCGCTCAGCAGACCGCTGCTCTCGGGGGTGGGGGTGGGGGTAGGGGGGGCGTCGGCGTTTGGGATGACGTCCCCGCCACCTCCCAGCAGCCCTTCCAGGACAGTGGTGCCTCCCAGCCTCTCCAGCCTTCCCCTCACATCTGCGGCAAGTGCAGGAGTGAGAAAGGCTCCCAAGAAGCTAGAGGAGGTGCCCCCGGCCTCCCAGGAGCTGGCTCAGATGCGGAAGCAGTGCCTGGACTACCACCACAGGGAGATGGAGGCGCTCAGAGAGGCCTTCAAGGAGTATCTGATCGAACTCTTCTTCCTGCAACACCTTCAAGGGAACATGATGGATTTCCTGGCCTTCAAGAAGAAACATTATGCCCCACTACAGGCTTATCTTAGGCAGAATGATTTGGACCTGGAGGAGGAGGAGGAGGAAGAAGAAGAGGAAGAGGAGGAAGAAGAGAAGTCTGAGGTCATCAATGATGAGGTGAGAAACAGCTGCCGCCAGTGAGAGTGCCGGGTCCCGCAGGTCTGAATCTAGCCAAGGAAGTGCGCAGGGTCTGGAGCCTGCGCCCATGGGCTGGGCCAGGAGTGACACTGATGGGCCCTTCCATCCCTTGTCCCCAGTGCAGGGCTGCTCCAGGGCGTGGTGGGGCCACCATGGTGCTGTGGGTTGTGCAGATGCAGAGCCTGGCTTCTGTTTAGATCAGAGCTTCTCCTCAGGTGCAGAGAGCTGAGTTGGCACCACCCAGCCTCCCCTCTGGTCTGCTGCCGCCGGATTCTACTCTCTTCACCTCAGCCACCGTCAAATCAGCTTTGGGCTTTGAATTTCTAGCCTTTTTTAGTTTTCCATAGTTACAAATTTCTAAATGCTCTCATATGGTATATTAGTGATAAACTAATAGTTATGGCGAAATGTGTTTGAGAACATTCTCAGGTGTCAGATGTAGGTTTAGATCTAATAACTTGCCACTCTCATTTCTACACAGGCCTGTTAAATGATATTTCAAGTAGCCTTTCTTAGTGAAGATTGTGGGTGCCTGGAGTGGTGCTCGGTAACCCCAGGCGAGCCCCCTCCGCCCCCGTGTGGCTCCTTGGGCCCTACTCCTGGGCCCCTGCGTGCCGGTGGCGGAGTGGACCGCGGGCCGCTATGCGCACTGCGCTTTGTGCCTTCGTGTCGTGTGGCGTGCACTGTGTCGGCCCCTCTGTCTCACGGCGGCTGCAGTACCTAGTCCTTGTCCGTCCTCCTCCAGCAAAGAAATCAGCCTTGGGAGAACCAAGGCTGGTCTCTCTGCCCACACCGTCCTCCCTGGTATTTATGGGCGTTTCTGTGTGGCTTTGCCATTTTGTGTTCCTTCAACACCCTCTCCAGGATGGCCTTTATTTTCCAAAAGGCTGCTAGGCTCATTTTGAGGGGTGTCCTGCGTTGCCATGCAGCAGGCAGCATGGGTCTCTGTGCCATGTGTCACTTGTGGCACAGCCCCCGTGCTCTAGAGGAGCCTGCCTCCTCACTTCCTGCTGGCTAGGCCTTAGCTCCGTCCCTTGCAACAGGCAGGGACATGCCTGGGGGCTGCCCTGTGCTCACAGTTGGAGGGCACAGGCTCTAGTGACTCTGCCGTGACGAAGGTGGTGCCCCTGCCAGCGCCACAGCTGAGTCAGCTCATTAGAAGTCAGTTCAGTGTTCTTTTACTGGAGTCGATGCAAAAATATTCCATTTTAAGAGCAGACATCAGTGAGCTTTCAGCAATAAAACTAACAGAATTTTGAGCAGTCTTAAAAATTGTTACCTTTTTTTCTCAAAATATTTCCTCTCAGGTAAAGGTTGTGACAGGAAAGGATGGGCAGACTGGTACTCCTGTTGCTATAGCAACCCAGCTTCCGCCAAATGTTTCTGCTGCTTTTTCATCCCAGCAGCAACCATTTCAGGTACTTTTTGATGGTTCTAAAATGTAGTCTCATCCCAGACTTTGCCTTCATCAGATAGTTGACCCTTCAGTTTACTATTCGCTTTTCAGCGTTTTTTCCCAGAGCCCATTCCTTATTTTTAAGAAATAACAAATCTTCCTGCATAAACATCGTAAAGTTAAATTGCATGAGTAAGTGGCCACGCAGCCTTGAATGCTTTGTCGGGTCGCCTGCGTGCGCAGCCTGCATGCCCCCACGCTCTGTCGATGTGTGCCAGGCCATGTGCTGCGTTTTACATGTTGGTTTTTTTCTTGTGTCTTCTCTTTGTGTTTTTGAGAACAGTGCAAAACAGAACAAGAAAAAGAAAGATATAAGCTGATGGTAACTTGATACTTTCTGTAGCTAGAAGCTAGAAGCACTGACGTGACAGACCTGGAATCTTCAGGACCTCAGGCTTCTAAGTGGATATTGCGTGAATGCAAACTGGCTATTTTTAATTTGGGAAAATGAACTTAGTCACTCCAGGAACCTGAAAGTATAGGTCAATTCCACTATTTTTGGAATAGAATTGTGTTGGGTTCTGAAAGCAGAATCTTGGTGATTTTTTGGCGTCTCTTTAAATCTCCATAAAATTTCAAACGTATATAAAAGTGGTGATAAGAAGAAAACAGCTCCCTTTAGAGCCTTTGCCCAATTGTACCTTTTTGCCCCATTTGCATTGTTTTCATTCTTTCTTCCTGTCATCTTTACATTCTCTCTCTCTCTCTCTCTCTCTCTCCCCCCCCCACCCCCTAACCCCCATATCTGATCTGGCTTCCTGTATGACCTACACCCCAGGGTGTGTGCTCAGTGCCAGCCTTCCTGCAGCAGCCCAGAGACCACACCAGGAGACTCTCTGGTGGCACACACTCTGCCTGAACCACACTTCTGTGTATGCTGGGCCTCTGGTCCTGGCAGTGCTCTGTGCCACACCCCTGTCTGGGCCATGTGCTGCACTCCAGCACCTGGTCTCTAGCCTCTGGGGTGGCCCCACCGTCTATCAGGACCCCCTCATCTTCCAGGCATGGACAGTTGCAGATGATGCTTTGATGCTGAGTTGTTGGGTGCTCCACAGACCCCTGCTTTGGAGAGGAAGGCTCTGTGGCTCCAGGCCGCCCTGTGTGGGTCAGAGTGGCGGGGCCGGGGCTATAGCTGGTAGTGGGGCATGCTATGTCCAGTGCTGGGCACTCTTTCCTTTTGTGGGTGGTGATTCCTGAGGATGAGACTTCAGGGCTGTGAACATCTTGAACCTCAAGGAACATTCAACCACTATCTTCACTCTGTTGCTGGGTCCTCCTGGGCCACTTAGCCATTTCAGGGTCCCCAAAATGCCCGTTGTCCCCTGAATTTGTTGCCTGCCATGCTGCTGTGGCAGCCATTCCCCCTGCCCTCAGTATCTACACTCACATGTGGATGCTTACTTCATCATGCTTGTTAAGTGCTGCTGACCTCTCAGGTAAACCTCCTGGTTAGGGCTTTGCACTTCCTGCCTGGCTCTTGGGCTCCACGAGTGCTCAGTGCAAGCACCTCACGCAGCTCCAGCCCCACGCAGCCCTGATGCTGCTGTCTGATGGGGCTGCACCTCCCTTGTCTCTCTTCATATGGCCTGTGGCCTACTTGACCAGGACAGTGGGCCCTTTGGGGTGAAGGTGCCAGGAGGCTCGTATGAACATTAGGGCTCACCCTCATGTGAAAAGCTAGTAAATACATGTCCTGCCTCACAGGACTTGGCAAAAAAGGCTGGACTCCAGGTGGCTGCCTGCTGGCTTGTGTAGGGGGTTCGAACTGCCCTCCTGTCCTCTGCGTTACCCTTACCTGGCCTGGTGGTGGGTTCATGGAGGTTGCCTTTGCATTTCCATCTACTCACTTCATTGTTGCATTTGGAAGTTCTTAGGTGTCTGGTCAGATAACTCGTTTGTAAATATTTTCTTCCTATCCATGGTTGTTTTTTCCTTCTGTGACACTTTGTTTTATAGCACAAAAGTTTAATTTTTAATACAGTCTGACCTTAGATTTTTTTGTATAGATTGTGCTTTTCATTTCACACCTGAGAATTCTTTGCTTAAGTCTAAGTCACAAAGTCTTTGTCCTGTTTTCTTCTAGAAGTGTATAGTTTTATGTTTTACATTGAGGTCTCATGGTTGCTTTCAAGTGAAATTCTGGGAACATGGCAAGCCTAAGACTGAGGGGTTTGCATTTTTTCCTGTTGACACCACTTAATTGTCCAGCACCATTTCTTAAGACTATTGTCCTGGATCCATTGAGTGAACTCTTTACCTTTGCATAGCTCTGGGACCCCATGTGGGCTTTGGGTGAGTGTGGAGTGCATACTCCAAACCCCGTCACTTTATTCAATCTCTTTTCGGGTGGGTTTTTATAAAAAAAGTATTTACTTATGCATACAAGAACTGGGGTACAGGCCAGAGAGACGAGGGGTGAGAGGACTCACCAGAGACAGAGTGGGGAGCAGAGCAGGCGGATCTACTGAAATACACTGCTGAGAAGAGAGATAGGAGAGGTCACCTGCTGCACACTGTGGGTCAGCTCCCCGGCTGGGGATTGAACTCAGGCTGCAGTGACTACCACTTCATAGTGCTAAGACTTAATCCCTGTGCCACCAGGGAAATCCTAGGTGAGTTTTGGAGCCCACTTGTTGATGGCCACAAAGCTCCCCTTAGGCTCTGCTTGGGGTGGACTGAGGCCCTGCTGCTCGGAAGCAGCGTCCTGACCACATCCAGCCTCTAATCTGGGCATGGCAGATTAGACTTGTTTTGCCAGTGTTTGGTAATTTTTAGCATGCCATTTAGGCTGTATTTTGTTTGTTTTATACCCATCTAATCCACCTTTCTTGGGGTACTTTAAAAAAATACCCAGCAAGTGTGTAGAAATTCAGTTGATGATTTAAATCTGTATTTTGCAATCTTACTAAACTTGTTTTTTAGTTTAGGAATTTTTTTTCACAGATTCCATGAGACTGTAGAGAAACATTTCCTCAAGGAGAACAAGAGTTAGTTTTTCTTTATCTTTATACTTTTTACTTATTTTCCTTGCCTTATTGCACTGACAAAGACTTCTAGTATAATGCTGAAGAACAGAGGTGAGAACAGACATTCTTACCCTTCAGGAAATCGGGAGAGAACAGTGAGATGTTTGCTGTGGATTTTGTAGCTGTCTTTTCTTCTATCAGGTCAAGGAGCTTTCTTAGCTGCTGTGCTATGAATGGCTTGTTAATTGCTGTTTTGCGCCTGTGCACGTGGTCTTTGGTCTTTGGAGGGTGAGTCACATCATATTGAGATGCAGTTTATTAACAGGAACATATTCACTTGAAGTGCCCGTTTGTGGGGTGGTGACAATGCCCATGTGACCACAAGCCCCTTGTGCCCCCTGCCTTTCTGTTTATGTTGCTGCTTAAATTTGCTGTGATTGAACCCACTGGAGCCCCTGAGGCTGACTCTTGTATCCTCAACATCCTGTTTCTCTGAGCACCTTAGCTCTCTGGCACCAGATGCCTAAGGCTGAGCCCAGCACAGGAGTCATTCATTCTCCTAGGAATCTTCTTGGTGGGAAGTAACAATTTGAGCCTGATCAAATGTGGGTGCATTGAAGGGAAGATTTCTTAAACTGGGTATTCTCAGAAGATTGGTTTGTGGGGCCTTTCTGCTGTTACAGTACAGAGGGATAGACACAGAATACATGGCAGGCCCCACTGACATGTGTTTCCCAGTTGCTGGTGCAGGAAGGTATCGGCCACCTGTGAAGACACAGTGGTGCAGGGCACACTGCCTCCATCCACAGAGCAAGAGGCACAGAGTCTGTTGGTTCTGATCACTCACTTTGCTGGAAGTGAGCTTGGGGACACTGTCTGACCCCTTTGGGGACACATCTGGACCTGGGCGCCAGCAAACATGTGCCTCTGCTTTGGGCAGCTTTGTCTATGACTACACCAAGTGGGAAGAAGCTAGACACCCACAGGCAGTAGACAGGCTCATGGGTAGTGGCACCCCAGTGGAGACCACACCCAGGAACAACTCCAGCACCCACCAGGAACAGGCCTCAGTGGCACTGCATGGGACAGGAAATTATAAGGGAACACAGGTGCTCTGCCCTCTGCTCAAGTCCAGTGTAGAACTAGAGCAAGCAAAGGGAGTGTGTAGTTGCCAGTGGCCCTATGGAGGATGGTCAGGCCAGCTGGCAGGCAGGGGTAGACTTTAACAGGTGTACGGGCTTGCCAGTACAGGCTCCACCTGTAACCCTGGTGCATATACAAGGGTACAAACCTGCTGGACGTCAACAGACATGATGTGGTCAGTGGTGTCCACTGTCAGCAGGTGGACGTGCATACGTAGAGTCCCCAGGCCCTGTGCTTAGGTCTGCATCCTCCCACCTCGCTCTTGATGTTTTCTCATGAAAGATTTCAAACAAATCTTTCATTTCATTCAGTGTTCATTCAGTGGACAGCCACCACCTACCCTTTCAGTTCTATGGTTAAGTTCATAGTGCTTTTGTTTTTTTAGCATTTTCACATTTTGAAAGGATAGGGTGTTAGGAAAAGGGGAGACGTCTAGAGGCATAGGTGGGAGGGTGCCACGGATGTGTGTGGTCTTTCGTAGGGGATGCATTCCTAGCAAATGCTTGAGAGGGAAAACCAAGGTCTCTTACAGATCGCAGATGAAGTCAGTCAGGGAAGAATTGAATTGAAAAATCCTTTTGTGTTTTTTTGGGGGGAGGGGACTCAATGAGTTTTACTCTTGACAGCCAGTTGTAGTATTTTTAGGGCAGCTTTGTGAAGTTGTGGGAGGACTGCATTAGGTGAGAACCAGCGTGGAACCTGACCCGGTGTGCAGTTGGGCTGTGCAAGCCTTCTGTGGAGAAGGTGGGCACATGCACTCACTTTGCTGTAAATTGAAAAGTCTGTTTTATTCACTTTTAATGGTTTCCTTGTTAAGGAAAAGCTCTTGATAGTTCTTCATGTTGAGAAACCAAAACACAGCCCCCTGAGTCCTGGCTTGGGCTGTGGCTGCTGTTTTGGGGCCCAGATAGCTGTGCTCTTGCCTGCTTACCTCAGACACCATCTCAAAAGCCCATCTGCCATTTTCACCCAGTGTGAGGACTTGAGGGCAGTTGGTCTTTGCTAAGAACACTGAAGTCCAGAGTTTGTGGCTGTGTGAGTTTTGCCTCGGGCCCCTCCCTGCAGGCTTTGAGGTACTGTCCAAGCACAGTTTGCTGTCTGCAAAGCCCACTGCTTCTTTTGGCTGTTCAGACTAACTGGAGATTAGTTTTCAGTGAGGATTATGTTAGACACAGTGAACCTAGTTCTGTGCCCTGCCCCACTCGCCTTCCATTTCACAGACATTTGTTGGCGTTTGTGACTTATTGTCTGCCGTGGACAGCCCAGGTGGTCAGGTGCCCTGTGATGAAGGTGTGCCGTCCGCTGGGGCCAACATCCCCTCCAGGCTGAATCTGCAGCCTCCCTTCCAATTGTGAATTGAGAGACCTGAGGTCATCTGCCCACTTAGTGACGAGTCCCCGCAGGTGTCAGGCCAAGCAGTGTGTCTCCCCAGCCCACTCCATCCATTCAGTGTTGGCATGTCCCAGCTTGCTTATTCTGGTTTATTGAAATAAGCAAGACTTTACCCTGGTGACTGCCATTGTACTTGCCAGTCTTAACCACATCCTCCAGCATGACATAAATCTCTTCCTCTTTTAGGTCTGACTTTTTACATTTAAATGGGCAGGCTTACTCCAGAAGGGAAGGGGAGTGGAGGGTACTGCAGACACCAACAGCCAGGGACAGATTTGCTCAGAGAAGCCAACACAGGCCCAGGAGGTGAGAGGGATTTGGGGGGTGGGGTGTAGAGCTAAGGCTTAATGTTCTGAATGGCCTTTTCAGTGGACTGCATCCCTGTTTCCTTCAGTTCTTTTATTTCCTGGTGTCAATTCTAGACACCCTGTATATCATGTCATATCTTCTGTCGATAATTTCTTTTTGATACTGTGTCTCTTGAACTGGACCAGAATTCAGTGCCGTTCAACTCAGTTGGGAATTCAGTTCCCATCAAAGAGCATCCACTTCACTGAGTGTTTTTCTTTACGATAAGTTTCAGTAAATGATTATGGGTTAAAATTGTATTTTAAGATAACATCTTTCTTAGATGATCCTTGTGAGAGCAGTCTGAGATGAAAGCAGAAGTCAGCGTCTCATCTGTACCAGTCAGAGGAAGGAGAGATTTTCTCTGCCAGTCTTGATGAGGAGTTGTTTTTTTGAATGTCATCTGGCAGATCAGGTTTTCTACATGGATAACCAGTATTCTAGCACCATTTTATTGAAAAGACTTTATTCTCTGTGGGCTGCTCTGGGGCCTTCGGGTCTGTCCCGACCACTTGCTTGTATGAGACTGGTCCACCCTTACGCCCTCTGAGTCCTTGGCCATCCTGACATCCAGACCCAGGCAGCTACATCTCACTCTGTTCTCTCAAGAGCCTGCCTTCCAATTCCCAGACCTCTGTGTTGCTACATGACTATTTAGCTCATCCAGTACATTCTTTGTTTCTAGATTCTCCATGGTACTCTTTTAATAGTTGTGGATGTTTTTGTCTTTGAGATTTCTTCATGGGCCTCATGACCACATATTTCCCTTATAGCTTGGGGCCTACTCCTAAAGCTGCCATGAAGGGCTTGCTGTGGCCCCAGCACTGGGCCACCGAGCCGCTGCTGAGGACAGCACAGACCTTGTTTCCTACCTTGTCTCCTTAATGTTCTGAGGTAATTTTGAGTTGGGTTTTGGAAACTGTGGAGGCCAAGTAGTGGCAACTGTAGGTTATTACATGCCTCCAGCAAGCCCTGATTTGTTAATTTCCACATGAGTTGACTTAACTGAACCCAAAATACCAATGTGTTGTGTTGGCTTTGGAGTCCACATACGCCTGGGAAGCAGCTGGGGAAAAAGACAAGCCCAGCATCTGCATCGGCAAGTCCTCTTGCTTTTGTGCAAGGTGTCTCTCTTGGCAATTTCAAGGTGGTGAGACGTGAGCCTGTCCATGAAGGCTCTGACGACAGACACCACGCACCAGACCTTCCTGAGTCCCACCCCCTCTTGCGAGTATCCATTCCCATCCTATAACTGCCTGCTGTGGCCTTCGTATGTTTTTTCTAGCTTTTTTTTTTTTTTTTAATCCAGTAGAATGTGCTTGACCATTACTGGATACAGAAT